TAACATGAACTCAAAAAGCCATTTCTGAAATATTTATTTCATAACTTAGTATTCACAAAGGCCCTATCTGACAGACGTTCTACATAATGGATAAAAAAACAAATTTTTTTTAATTATGATAGGTGTTGATATTTAACATAAATTCCATCAATAATTTTCAATTCATTTTTAACCGACTTCCAAAAAAGGAGGAGGTTATCAGTTCGTCTGAATATTTATTTTTTTTTATGTTCGTTACCGCATAACTTTGGACCACGGAACTTAGGTAACAAATGAAAGAAAAATTCTGTAGAATTGGAAACAAAATTTGGTGCAAAATGACGAATAGGTTTTGGAAATGCCCTCTTAAAATTGTATGCTTTAATAACCTTGAAAATTCTAATATATATATTTTTAATTATATATGTATCAAGTACATATCAACGGCACTAAAACTTTTTTCAAGTTCATACATGTTCGATTTTGGATACTCCTGTTGTAATCGTATTGAAATCACTCCTCATTACGAGCACATAGTTGGAACAGATTAACAATTACAAGTCTTCTTAAGAAATCTTAAGTCCGTAGAGCAATCTTAAAATTTATACTTTTAATTTAAAAATACTATCAACATAAAATAAAATAATAATGAGTTCCATATACTTTCAGATATATATTCTGACAATTGCGATTTGCCTTAATTTCGTCACGACCAAAGTGTTGGAAAAGCAAGCGGCTCGTCGTATCAGGTATGTAGGTATATTAGAATTTCATCTTCATTAATTACAAATGCTCTATATTCTATACAACCTCTAGCAATTCAGCACTGCAACCACTTGATAGCACGTCCTTTGATTACGATTATTTTTCGCCTCAGGCACGGCAAAGTCAAACACCAACTCAGCGACCATTCATAAACTACTGGAATAACCTGGTGCAAAATATACGTCTCCCAGTACCTTATATCAGGTGGAATATGACTAACCCGCTGGTGAACCTATTCAACGCCGGTGCAACCAATGTTATCGACACTCCAGTGGGAAACTATAACAAGAGAAACACAAAACGCAAGCGCAACAAAAAAACAAGAACCCAACAAGATATGCTTACAAAACGCACCAAAAAACCCAAATACACAAATTCAGCTTATGAGAGAGAAGATGAACAGATGTATCAGACTACTAGTTATAATGATTACGAAGTACCGTACAAAACCCTCTATTTTTATGATGCGCGCACTGGTCAATATTATAAAATGCAAAACTTGCATACTAACAACTACTTAAATGCTTACACTCCCGCTAAACAGCAGCCGTACGAATTTGAAGAGGAAGAAGGTACTGCAGAACAGCCAGTTCGGCACGAGGTAGCTGCACAAATTGAGCCGCCAACTGCAGAAGCATCTGTCGAAAGCAATAACTCTGATGATGAAGCAATGCAGGAAACTATCGAGGAAGAAACTCTTCCTGACTCACAAGAAGCAAAAGAATCTGAAGAAGTTGAGGTAATACCACCAGATATGGAAATTAGCGATGAGTCAGAAGAGGAGCCTACTCTAGGAAGACAGTCAGATTTTATTAAGCAGACTAAACAGCATAAAGTAAAAAATATTGAAAAACTGCATAACTCATTTGCCGCTTACATGAAAGACGATCACTTCAATAGGATGCGTCAGCGGGCAAACACAAAACAAAGTTCAGGAGCTAAGCAAAACAAAGAAAAATCACTGCCTAGGAAGAGGTTCGCATATTACATATTACAACCATTTTAATGTCTAAGCTAAAATTAAATATTGGTATTCATGCCGTGGTTTTAATAATAATCAGTTTCCAACTAAAAAATTCACTGAAGAATTACATCTAACTGGATAACCTTACAACCACGAAAGCGTGCAGACCTACCCCTATTGATTTATATTCCACATGAAGATATAAAATCTTTACCAACTAAAAGAATAGCAATAAGTAGAAGAAATGTGACTATAGAAAAGGGCAGTTGTATTACTTTTGCATAGTTAAATTTAAGTTACAAGACAGCATAATTATAAACATTAAATAGTAAATTAGCTAAGAATTAAAAATAAAGAACAATTGAAAGCAAAGAGCACCTAAGGAGTGTCAACTGGCAGTACTACATAATCCACATGCTCTACATCATCGAAGTAGGGATGCGTCATTGCATTTTTAGCTGATATGCGTTCATTGGGTTCGTACAGCATCATAACCTGTGAAAAAAAAAAAAAAATTATATTCTTACTGTGGATAGCAAAGAGTCAAGTCGTCACCTTAAAGAGATCATAACCTTCGTGCTTCACAATAACGTCTGGTATATTAGTTTTCTCCCATCTAGGAAATTTAGCCTTGTAATCTGGTAATTGACTAACACCAGGCCAAGTATTTTCATCAGGTGTACCCAATGTGCGAAATATTCGGTATAACTGGTCGATTTCGCTGTCACCAGGAAATAGTGAACGCTTCATAATCTAAGGAGATAATAAAGATGGCTTTAATTAGTTTCTTACTTAAAATTAAGTTAAATTTTCATATATCACCATTTCCGCAAATATGCAACCTAAACTCCATATATCCATGCCTGTCGCATAATATTTGGTGCCTAATAGTATTTCAGGTGCGCGGTACCAGAGCGTAACGACCTCGTGTGTATAGGCGCGCATTGGCATATTGAAGGCACGCGCCAGTCCAAAATCTGCCAACTATAAAATTAATAACAGAAAATTCTTAAACAGTCTTAATTGAAGTGAATCAATCCTTCATGTTGATGTTTACCTTAATGTTACCAACGCTATCGACTAGTAAATTTTGTGGTTTGAGATCTCGATGTAAAATTCGATTCGTATGGCAGAAACAAATGGCATCAAAAAGTTGATGCATGTAGCTCTGTAAAAAGATACAAATAGATATTATTTCAAGAAATCAAGAATTTGAAGTACAGAAGTCTCATATATCTAAGTAAGCCCAGCGCTGGATGGCAAACAGGCACTGGCATGACCTGATTCCATTAAAAATGCATGCGACTTCAAAAAAAGGAGGAGGTTACCAATTCGGCGGCATATTTTTTATTATTATATATTTTATTTATGTATGTTGCCGCATAACTTTGGACCAAGTGAACCCCTTTCGACCATTCTTTTTTTTTATCGATAAGGTGGTGCCGCAATGGCGGCCCTATACTAATTTAGTTTAGATCCGATCATGGGGTCATGAAGCAATTAAGGTAATTCTATTTTCGGTCCAACTTACAAAATTATTAATTATGTTTAAGCGTTAATTTAATCATTTTTATTTTCATGACTTCACCCCCAAATATAATAAAAAAATGCTGACTTTATGAAGGTATGGAGGGGTACGTTTTAGAAGTAAGCCATATTAATTGATTTCCACGCAAGTCACTCCTGCAAAGTTTACAGTAGCAGCTTACCAAAGCCTGCATAAATCAGTGAATTAGCTGAAAGTTCTCCTCAATCTAATTTAACGTAAATATAAAATATATAGGAAATGGAATAGGGAAAATTATAAGGATCTTCTTTATATATCCCCCTTGATAACTCACCTTTACAAGTTTAGGCGTGAAAGCATCCTTTTTCTTGTCCATTAACTTCTTCAGGTCCATATTCAAATACTCGAACACCATGTACAAGCTGGAATCCGCTACTACAATATCATATAGTCGTACAATGTTATTGTGCGTTAAATCCTTGAGTAGTGAAATCTCCCGAATGGCCGTCGATGGAACTCCCTCAGTTTCGCTACAAACACAAATTAAATACTTTAGTATATTTCCCATAACATCTTTACTTATTAGTTACTCAACAAGTTTCCATTTTTAAAGTGGCAGCATGTAAATAAGAATATACACAAAAATAGTTTAATCAATGACCAATTAAGTATGTATTGGGTTACAAAGTTTGCGTTGCTTTTCACAGCCCGACAAAGCCG